TTTTTTTTTTTTTTTTTTTTGGTACTGGGGATCGAACTCGGGACCTTGCGCTTGCAAGGCAGGTGTGGTGCCACTGAGCTACCTCCCCGGCCCTCTTTCTTTGTTTTGAGACTGGGTCTTGCTAAGTAGCTAAGTCACTCAGGTTGAGCTTGAGTTTACAATCCTCCTACCTTAATCTCCTAGAGTGCTGGGATTACATGCATGTACCACCATGCTTGGCTTCACTTAAAATTTTTTAAATCCAAATTAGAAAAGTACTACATTCATAGAGATAGAAAATTTGTTGGATAAAACTTATACTAAATGTTACATTTCATATTATATTTTACTTCTTTTGTTCTATGCTAGAATTTTATAACTTTTTTTAAAAACAAAGGAGAAATTTCAAATACCTGACCATCTGCTTCAGAATTAGACATCTGGAAACCCCTAAGTTTAGAGAGTTTTCAGGAATGGGCCATTTATAGAGCATGATCTCTAACTCAGTCTTGCTCCAATTTCAGAATATTTTGCGCTAACATACAGAGTTTCCACAAAGAAAAAAGGTCATCTCTGTTCTTCCTGCTAACTTTCTGAACTGCATCAAGTGCCCAAATTGTGATGTAAGTGTGGGTAAGAGAATGAGATGGCGACAGCCACGTGGAATAACATTCTTGATTGATCACAAGGTACTAACTTTCCCATACTTTCAGCTGTGACACTAAGTTTATCCCACAATGAGTGAAATTTGCTGTGGTGACTCTAGCTCCAGCTCTGTTGCTGGGAATGACACAGAAAAGTAAAGCTATTATTATGCTTGTTGGATGGCACTAGAATATTTAAAATAGTTCTAAGATAGAAAGGACTTAAGGTTTAGTTCATAACTCTTTTCATTGGTTGTTTTCACCTACTTACTGGACAGCGTTTACATATTACAAGCAAGACTCATAATAGGAGAAATGCTTGAAATAAAAATTTCATACTGATAACTTTTTAAAGTTTTCTTCATAATTATGAATCTTCTTATACCTAGTACATTGGACATCCAGTGTTTAACACTGGAGTATATGACCTGGCCTATACTTTATTTTTTCCTGAGCTAAATGATGTTGCCTTATAAAGAAAAGTGAACATCTTAATCACAAACTTTACAAAGAGGATTGCCTGACTGCTGCTATATAAACCTTCAGTATATTGTGTCCAGGATTGTGCAAATACTACTATTTCAAGCTCTCTTTACTGATAATTTAATGCTCCCTCTAAATTTAATGCTATTGCCTTTTCACCAGAAAGCAGTTTTTACTGATGATAATGATGATGGTCATTAGGGCCTTCGAGACTTTTAAAAGGATCCAAGAATGAATGAATAAATAAAACCACGATGACTCATTCTGCACCCAGTGCCATTAGTATAACGCACAGCTCAGCACAGTTTTTCTGCCTCACAAAACCGCTATTTAAATGTGTGTTAAATTTCTTTTTTAAATAAAATGAGTATAATTTATTCAGGGAATAATATGAGCTTGTAGAATGTTAGCAGTCAAGTAGGCAAGCTGCAAAAAGGAAATACATTTTTACCAGGCTGATTTATTTTTCTCTGAAATTAGTCCTAGTAGAACAACCAGATTATGTTGGGTTTGTATACATTCCTTCCTTCCCTATTGAGAAAAGTTTGTTCCTTGCCTCATTTTCATAGCATTCTTTATTTCACGTTTTAAGTCTATTGAGGAATGTTTAGTTGAATTTCCTTCTGGTACTGCTTCAGGATAAATGAGGAGGATAGGATAAGGAGATCTTATAGTGCCATTTCTTTACATTATTTAAATTATTATGTATCAGTAAATATTTCATATTCATAAAATGTGAATGGATAAACCCTACCTTTAAATATTCACTTACAGGAATAAAGAGATATGCCCAAAATTATTTTTATGAAGACATATATAGTGTTTCTCCAAAACTAGGGTTGTAAGATGGTGTGTTATGAGCCATTATGGAGAATTTTGTTTCATAAAGGATTAAACTATAGAAAATCCCAAAGTTGCAACAAAAGAGATGTAGTTATGCTCATTAGGCACTGAGTTTATTAGAATAGTCTCTGTTCCCTTCATGCATTGATTAGGCTTTCCAATGACTCATGTGGTAAGCAGCTACTTTTCCGTTTCCCATACAACTATTTTTCCCTTTCTTCTTACAGCAGACAGTGGAACAGGGAAAGGGACACTGAAGCATAACACAAGTGGCAAGCATTTTATATCTGATTATTCACAAGGGAGCCAGGTTTGTACTCGGAAGGGTGGCTAGGAGCATCTGGGACTTGCTCTTTCCCCCATAGCTTAGAAATAATAAAGTAAGTCTCAGAGAGCATGAGTGTTACTATAACATGTGGTCTGCAAAGAAACAAGCACCAAGAGATCTAAAGATTAACAATTAGCTTCAGAAATGTCTTTACTTTCAACAGAGTCAATATATTAAAAATCTGTGTTTAAACAAAGATAATGAGCAGGTAGTTTTTCACTTTAGAAATTTTTGATGAAATAAGTAATATATTTTAAAGGCTAACTTCTACAAAAGGTTGAAAATACAATTCAATTTGTAAATATCAAATTCAAAAATACCTATAGCAAGGCCTGACAGAAAACTATATTTTAAAATCCACTGATGGACTTTGCATGCAACTTAGACTATGATAAAAGAATAGTACATCAAATTACAATTGATCACTTAGAATCAATTCAGTCAGTCAGTGCCATTTATATGAGGCTGTCCAATGAAAACAAAAAGTTTCATTGGCCTGGGAAGAATAAGAATTTCCTTTTGCTATTCAAATAGGAGTCTGGCACCTTAGACCACTCTGCCATGCTGACACTATTCAAATATGAAAGCAACCTGTTGGTTAGCTAAAATGTTCTGATTCTTAATCCTGATCTGTATGATGAGAATGAAATGTGCCTTACAGTTCAGATCCCTTGCTTTGGTGGCCAGCTTCACAGAAAAACATGCCAACTGCACACTGGCATGTTTCTGACTCTTAGAAGGATGAGTAAAATGTATTGCCTCTTCAGTAGAATGCTCTGGAAACATGAATGGCAGAGCTTCCCTGACTCAGAGTTGGTTCTGGGGGATGAGATTTTGGCTCTCGTTTATGTGTGTAGACCATGGAGCCAGGTCTACATTGAAGCTGGTCTAGATCCTATGACATGCCTCTAAAGTATAGTATTCATGGTACAGTGCATACAAACCTACTCACTAATATGCATGTATAAATTACAATGTATGAACATGGTTTGGAATATAATAAAAAGGTTGTCTAGTAAGAAAAATAAGTTCTTTTCTTTAAAATCCTAGAATCCCTAATAGGGTACTGAGAGGTTTATACTAAAGGCAGAGGAGAACTGAGATCAACAGAAAGAACAGTGGATTCACAACCCCCTTCTTATACTCTCACTGACTGGACTGGGGCAAAAGTCTTCCATGTTACTTACATCTCTCTCTCTCTCTCTCTCTCTCTCTCTTAGAAGCATATATGATATGACTACACAATTTGTACTTTCTGTTTACCTTTCTGATAGTCTTCTTACCTGCTTGCAGAACCTGGCATGGATGCTGTCTTTTTAAAAACAGAATATTTTAAAACACAACAGTGCAGCTTGGCTGTCTTCAGAGTCTTTACCTTGCTTGTACAAACACAGCCATCAGGTTTTCTAGAGCCCTGTTTAAGTCTGGTAAGGAAATAGAAGTTAGGATTCATGTTAAGGAAATGGAAACAAATGCTTTGGAAGCATAAAGGATGCTGCAGCTGCACATTCAATTTGGAAACTCTCCAATATCTTTTTGGAGCAGAACTGCAATGATATTCCACTTGCCTGTAGCATCCCTGGGGAGACAAGGAATTACCATAACCATGAGAATGCTACAGCATTGCCTTAATACCTATGTGCTTTCTAGAAACAGAAGATAACAAATCAAGATGTTGAGGTCAGACTGAATCTGCTAGTATTCCAGAAACCTTATTCAATAAATATTTAGTAAATATCAATTCAGAGTG